GGAAGCACAGAATTAATTTAATACCTATCCCCAAAGGTGACTTTAACATCTTCAGGACTCACAAAGTTGGAGTCTAGAAGAAGCCATAGGAATATCCAGATACCTAAACAATCAGATAATACCAACTAGGTGGGCATAGGGCAGGCAGCTAGGGCCATGGGCATTAAGGAATTCCCTGGAATCTAATAACTTTTGCCTCTGCTTCTTGGATATGGAGACCTGAGTGGCACCAGTTTAAAACATGAAGACACACATCTCACTCCTTATTGAGTTGGTGTTAACACTAGCTAACAATTATTGACTGTTCACTCTTGGTCCTGTAAATCCCACATTCATAATCTAATGTCATACAACAATTGAACGAGAGAAGATCTCTGATTACCTCCATTTTACAATGAAGAGACTAGAGTTTAGTGAGGCTGACAACATATCTAAGGTCACACAGCTAGTGAGTGGCAGGAATGGGACTCAAGGCTTGGTTAGAATGCCAACTGCCATATCACATTATCTTCGACTCTGCCCTGTCTGTCCAATTTGGAAATGGAAAGGATGAAAATATATTCCAATATTATAGCTCTAAAGAACAATTAATACGAGAAGGTTATTACTGCTCTTCTCAAGAATACAGACTAATCATTGCACAATTTCACATGAGAAAGTCATGCTTTGCTTATGGCACTAGAGTCAGTGGTCACAGGTCATGGGTCATGGTCCTTCCTCCCCCCCCCCCCCACTTCCTCAAAAGTCACCATGGAGTATGGGCCCTGCCTGTCATCCCCAAGGGCCTCACCTGTGGTCACGAAGGAATAGCCCCGTTCAGTTAGGATCTTCATGAGGTAGTCAGTGAGGTCTCGGCCTGCCAGGTCCAGACGCATGATGGCATGGGGCAAGGCATAGCCCTCATAGATGGGTACATTGTGGGTGACACCATCACCAGAGTCCAGCACAATGCCTGGAGGACAAGAAGGCATAATAAGTTACAAAGGAAGTGCCTGTTTGGTCACTGGCTGAAGGAGAATTTCTAAGCCTCTTGAAAGGTTAAGAAGACATGTGAGGGCCTGTGAGATAGTTCAAGAGTCTGGGGCACAAGCTATGGATGTGGCTTCAATCCCTTGCACCACACAGTCCCCTGAGCACCTCTGGGAGCAAGTCCTCTGCACAGAACTGGGAGTAGACTCCAGAAGCACAGGGTGAATTTCTTCCCCTCTCCCCATAAAAAGCATGTGAAAACATAGGGAATAGAGACAGGGCTAGGGAAGGCAAAATAAGTAAGAGGCAGAGCCAGGAAATATAGAGCACAGACTATGTGGTTGTATCGTTTTGGTTTTGGAGTGCCAATGGTGTTTGGGGACTACTCTTGACTCAGTGCTTGGGCTTTGCTCCCAGCAGTGCTTGGGGAGCCACATGGTGCCAGGATTGAACCTGCCCTCCACCCCCCACCCCCATCCCCACTTCCTGCTTGTAGAACATACCCTCTAGCCACTGCAGCTTTCTCTCCCACATAAGATCCTTTTTCAAGATGTGAAGAACTTTCAGGTCTGAGATTCTCCTTGTGGATTCTAACTCACCCCCAATCCGTCTTGCACATTTTTACAACCATGAGATCCCAGAACTGATAGTGTTTTCATCAAGTCTACTCAATTATGCCCCATTCCCTTTACACCTACCAGTTGTCCGACCAGAGGCATAGAGGGACAGAACTGCCTGGATGGCCACATACATGGCTGGGACATTGAAGGTCTCAAACATGATCTGCAAAGCAACCCAGAGTGCTGAGTTAGTCCCACTGCCGTCTCAGCAAGAATGTTCAAGAGCACACACTGTGACACATGCAGACAGGCCTGTCTGGTCCTGGGGAGAATCAGGTGACAGACAACCAGGCAACCAAAGAAGCAGAAGTAAAGGGCTGAGTGGGAGGAGCAGCACACTAGGGACCTGTTGGCTCAGGAGGGATGAGCAAGGTCCCCACATCAACCCTCCCTAACCCCCCCCCCCCACACACACACCTCCCCCCTCGCCCACAGCAATAAAAAAAGCCCAGCTTCTCATCATGGCCATGGGATCTGGAATAACAGTGACCTGGGAGAATTTACTTAATAGCTGTTAACGTGGGTTTCAGGAAGGAGGAGTTGGGACTGATGACCTCACAGTCTCCTTCAGTATAAAAAGTTGAGGATTTTGTAACTACACCAAAGCCAGAAGAAATGGTAAAACCGGGAGTCAAGTTTTGACTTCTTTCACATCAAGGAAGGGACACTGAAGCTGAGACTGGTGGGGATGAACTCCAATTCTGTGACTGTACCTGCTCGTCAGTGTCATCCAAGGGGCCCTGATTCCTGGAAAGCAGGAGCTGCCTGCCAGTGTCCTTGCTCACAGCACCCAGGGGAAAGATGAGCAGCAGAGCACGCCCGCCCCCCCCCCCCCCCCCCGCCCGACATCACTGTGGGGAATGTGAGCCCTTTGAGCTGCCCATTGCCCTCCATTTCTCCATCAAAGACACACTCCTTAGTCTATTCAGCACAATGTCTGACATTGTGTACTAGTCTTAAATCTAACTGCTTTTTGCCTTCATGTCATTTACAGCAACAACAGTCCTCTTAGATTGTCTCACCACATGGGGCAAGTGCCAGGCACACAGAGATTCCCTGGTAGAGAATAATGCTTCATGTGTTAGTTTAAGCACCGCGAGATCGTCCAAAGAGAAGACTCTGCAGTAGTTGCATTTATTATTTTTCAAACCAAAAGGTCACAGCTATGCAGGTTCTGGCACTCCCAGCTACATAGACTTCAGGGAAATTGCTTAAAATATCCTAGCTTCTGGTTTCTTCATGGCCACTGATGTGGTTAGGATTACAATAGTTCATGCTTCTTCTTATTATACTTTAAAGCATATAAAATATTTAGCCAAGTGCTTAGTGATAGTCAGCATGAATCTGACATTAGATGTTTTCAAGTGATTGTTTATCTCAACTGGAAACCTTGTCTGGCTGGTGGAATAGGTGGTCTCAGACTATCATGTTTTTGTGCAAGTAGCAATAATGACAATAATTATTTGTTGACTCTTTAGTGTATCAGGTACCATGATACACAGTTAACATCGTGTCATAAATCTTCACATAATCCATCAAGAGGAAATAATACCAACACCATTTCCAATAGCTGGGGAAGAAATAAAACCTATTACTTATAATAAGGATGTATTAATAGTTATGTTATAAAAAGGAAATATAGACTGCAAAATTTGGATTCCTTAAGATCACATTGCTAACAGAACCACATTTGAAACAGAAAGCTGTCTGACTCACATTCAAAACTTCACACTAGATTTTGAAATGACTTTTCCTTAGAAGTTTTAAAGGCAAAAAACCTTCTAAGTTTTTTTTTTTAGAAAAAAAAACATAGTGCCTTTTCCATAAAGTCTTTTGAATTTCCTGCTGCTCTTGGGGGACAGAGGAGCAGATCGAAGCTTGAAGTTGGCATCTTTACTGTAGGCAGTAAAGATAGACCACCAAAGAGAGCCTTCCTGTCCTTCAGAAGCCTTGAGTTTCTCAGAAGTTATCAATCTATTGGAGAACATCTAGGGAGTCCAAACCCACAAAAGTGCTGGGTCAGGAGTGAATATTAACCTGGGTCATTTTCTCCCTGTTGGCCTTCGGGTTCAGGGGTGCTTCAGTGAGCAAGGTTGGATGTTCTTCAGGAGCAACTCGAAGCTCATTGTAGAAAGAGTGGTGCCAGATCTAGAGGAGAAACACAGGGGTGGCACCATTAGCACTGTACATCCACTCCTCCCATCCCTGGAACAGAATAAAGTCACAAAACAGGATGAAATCAAGCATTTGTAAAAATGCTCATTCTGTGTCCACATTTTGCCAGATATAGGGTTCAAAGCTTGAAGTTGGTAAGTGATGCACCTCTACTAAGTAATGTTTAACTAAACAAGGGAAAAAGACAAATATCTGTAAGAATAAGGCTAGCTGTCATTGTTAAACTCTCAGGGGAAAGTCTCTCTGCAGTCTCTCTGTAGGCAAGGGAAGCTCTCCCGGAATCCTGCTTACATTTGGTCTTTGCTCTTCCTGCCCGGGAACAGCCTGCCTCTGTCTAGACCAGTACTTTTCAATCTTTTTAAAATCTACAGATAAGGGTAGAGAAGAAATAATTTGTGAATGGCTAAGGGAGAAACAAAAATCTATTATTTATAATATCTATGATACTATCACGTCATTACTCAGGAGAACTGTGAGTTAGGGGCAATGTCTTGTAAATGATCATTGGTGCATGGACCCATGGCTGAAAAACACTGCTCTGACCATCCATTGATTCACAGATATTAAGCCATTGAGTGTTTCCAAATATAGAAAGCCAGAGCCGACTTAAAGTGTGTCTGTGAGAATATACTTTGAGCATAAGCCTGTTTGCTTATTTGCTTCATGATTGAACACACTCTTTATTTATTTATTTTGTCTTTGGGCCACACCTGACAGTGCTGAGGGCTTATTCCTGACTCTGTGATCAGAGGTCACGCCTGGTTGTATCCAAGGGACCATACATGGCGCTGGGGATTATACCTGAGTAGGCCACATGCCTACACTGAGTAGGCAAGTGCCTTAATACCTATACTATTTCTCTGGGCAAGTACGCTCTTTAATTTCTGGTTGACCAAAAGCAACTAATAATTGTAAGAGGGAAAAAAAACTAAGTTAACCAAATTTCTGTAAAAATGGAAGAATGAGCTACCTAACAGTAGGGATATTAATTTCATCCAGAATGAAACAAAATAAATCAAAAACTGTTTGTAAATAAAAAAAAAGCAAGATTAACTAAAAACTATCTTGTTTTGCTCCTATTGTTTATTTAAGGGTTTTATATTTTTGGCTTCTAGGTAGGAAAGAAAATTCCTAAACATTCTATTCCTTTGATGGAATAAAAGCAGCAGCCTATGTAAGAAACTCTTCCAGTCATCTTATAAACTGCAGAGAAATCCTTTAAAAGATTTTTTTCAAAATGTACTTTCTTAGATCTGGTCTTTGTAGGAGAGATCTTGAACTGGATTCTATGTGTAAATATTCATTTCTTTTTGTTTCCGTGAAAGAAACATCCAGCCCCCTTTTGGGTTGTGTAGTCAAAGGTGCTTGAGTCACTAGCCCGTGAGATGGAACAGCTGCATGCTGGCCTTGGGCCTGATAGGATTGACCTGCAATTATGCTGCCATTCTTTAGCACAAAGTCTTGACTGGTATGCAGATATTTCTGTTAATGATAAAAATTTTTAATTTTCTTTTGGTTTGCTTTTGGGGCACACTCAGTGGTTCTCAGAGCTTACTCCTGACTATGCTCAGGGATGGCTCCTGATAAGGTCCAAGGAACCACATGGCATGTCAAGGATCATACCCAGGTCAGCTACATTCAAGGCTATGCTATCATTCCATCTTCCAAGTGACGAAAATTTCTGCTGGAAAAATGTTACTACTGAGTAAAATGTGTCTCCAGATTTCCTAGATTCTATGAGAGGGTACTTATAATATAAACCCTAAATAGAAAAAAAAATGAGAGTTAAAATCCTCAAGGAATTAAAAAAAAAAACCTCTTTTTCAATTAGTGACCATCTAGAACAAATATTAGCAAGTACAATTTGGTGACTTGAACCTGTTGTCTCCCCCACACCCAGGCTATAGCGAGGTACTTGCAATCAGGACCCAGAAAGGTTCTGCACCCTACCTTTTCCATGTCATCCCAGTTGGTGATGATGCCATGCTCTATCGGGTACTTCAAGGTCAGGATTCCTCTTTTGCTTTGTGCTTCATCGCCTACATAGCTGTCTTTTTGTCCCATTCCTACCATTACCCCCTAAAAAAGTTCAATGAATTGCAAGTCAGCTTCTCTGTAACTTTGAACCAAGCTAAGTACAAAGAGTTAAATTATTGCAATAGAAGAATCACTCTTTTGGTATCAGTGACAATTTTTTGGGTTGTATGATCACTGTAATGTTAAGACACCACTGTTGATTGATTATAAATAGGTCTGAATCAACTGCCAAACTGCAGAGCACCCTGTGGGTGAAGCCACTTTATATCACATTTTTTATTCTTAATGCGGCATAAGGGGCTGGAGAGATAGCACAGCAGGTAAGGCGTTTGCCTTGCACGCAGCCAACATGGCCCACCCGAGTTCTATTCCTCCACCCCTCTCCGAGAGCCCGGCAAGCTACCGAGAGTATCTCACCCCCACGGCAAAACCTGGCAAGCTACCCATATCAAATATGCCAAACACAGTAACAAATCTCACAATGTTACTGGGCCCGCTCAAGCAAATCGATGAACAACGGGAGGACCGTGACTGTGAATGTGGCATAATGAGTTCTATAGGGGCAGAAGTTGTATTTGTCTTGTTTAGCACTGTGAAAATTTTCCTGGTACGTATTTGGCACTGTTGGATTAACATATAAAATTTTCCATATCAACGAAGGAGCATATTTGTCTCACATAAGTCCTTTAAACTGCATGCTTAAAGTTGTCACCTACCATAGAGTAGATGAATGTTATGCTCTGATCACTGTGATTAAAAGCATTATATGTACAAATTACTGCTCAATGTTTGATTTATGATAAATAAATTGACACTAATCATCATGAAAGAATCTACCTAAACTAATCAGATGTACTTTTTTTTTTGCTTTTTGGGTCACACCTGGCGATGCACAGGGGTCACATCTGGCTCTGCACTCAGGAATTATACCTGGTGATGCTCAGGGGACCATATGGGATGCTGGGAATGAAACCCAGGTCGGCTGCGTGCAAGGCAAATCTCCTACCGATTGTGCGATTGCTCCAGCCCTCAGATGTACTTTTTAAAATTGTTATAACATAGTTACTTACAAGAAAAAGGTAAGGGAATTCTAATAAGATTTTAGATTGTACAGTCACTATTTTGGAATTTCTAATTTTTCATGGCTGCTAATAAAGCATAAGCAAGTGACTAGTGAAGAATACCTCATTGTATGCAACAAAGGCATAGAATTTGTTGTGGGAGCCCTCTATAATTTGGTATATTGAATACATTCCATACCCACAAGAATTATTATTTAGCTAGTCTATATGAACAAATTATTTCTCAAGAGGAAAAAAAGTTTTCAAACAAAATTCTCAATTTTTATGTAGTGGCTGCCACCAATATTTTGTTTATACAGAATACCATGTAAAACTGCCATAAGTCTGCTCAGATATATTTTCTGGTATCACGATGTAAGTTGCAGTTGGTAGCAATGCTTACTGTTATCTAACATCAAGCTCTATGAAAATAAGTGATCCAAGCTTCTATTATAATTTCTTTTCAAAGAGTGACTGCAGTATACATTTGGTAACTTGAGATTTTTTGTGGCAGGGGACAGGGGTATTTTAGGCTACACCTAGTGGTATGTGGGGACTGCTCCAAATTCTGCAGTTGGGAATCACTTTCAGTTATTCCCTGGAGACAATGCATTGTCAGGGATCAACCTGGGTCTCCTCTACGCAATACAAACTCAGCCCTTTGAGCTCTCTCTCGGGCCCATAAGCATTTTTGATGATGATGATGGTGATGATGACGACGACAATGATTCTATGTAAACCAAAAGGGCTTATGAAAAAGGGTCAGATTTTATAGCTGATAGACACCAGTTATTCTACCCACATTATATAATATATATTTAAAATTGGAACTTATTTTAGACATTATTCACCAGGTATATTTTTAATGAGTTTACACATGTCTGGGCAGAAAGCCATGGGCAGCCTGTCAAGACCTAGAGTATCAAAGACCTAAAGAACCTCAACTATAGACCTGTTTCTTCCTATTTCCATTCAAATTTACTCACCTGATGTCTGGGACGTCCAACAATAGATGGGAATACAGCCCTGGGAGCATCGTCCCCAGCAAAGCCAGCCTTACAGAGCCCAGAGCCATTGTCACACACAAGGGCAGTGCTATCTTCTTCTTCACACATCTTGGATGGCGTGGAAGCTCACAGTCCTGCAAGGAACAAGGAGAAATCACACCCTGTCTGTAACACAGTCTTTGCTTTACCTGAACATTCCCAGATCCAGACCAGGTTCAGAACTCCTCTGTGCTCTTGAACAGCCCACCCTTACCCTTGTCTAACACTGCATATTCCAGAGTACTTTATGTCAGCGTTTCTCAATTGGAAGCCATATGCACTCCAACCCAGAGGGCCCCCAAATATTCCCATGGGTCCACATGTGAAAATTACAGGAATAGGAGGCCATGGCACAAGTGTAAGGGGCCAATCCGTAAGGCAGCTACAGGAAAGACACAAGTGTGAAAAGGAGTCATGGTAGAGAAAGATTGAGAAACACCACATCAGACTAAATCCACAAATCAAAGCTCTGATTTTATGTTCACACAAACAGCCTGTAGCACAATAGCTGGCACAGCACATGTGTTGATGACACATTTTTAAATGTACTAAGTAAGAGAGTGAATAAATATCTTTAGCATGAAGATGGGTACTCAGACTATGAGAGCAAGTCATCACAAGGACAAGGAATCTTGCATTTGTTAATGTCTTTAGCATTTGCCTCTGTTTCAATACAAAGTCACATTTTCTAAAATATGCAACTTAAAAAAATTAAAGTATACTTTGAAGAATAAAAGCATGTCAAAATTCAGATGCTGAAATGTTTAAAAGAAAAATGTCTTCGAGTTTTCAGACTTCTATCATACTCTTTAAATAAAGAACTTAAAAGCAATCAATACTTTCTAAAATGAAGCTTAAAATTTAGGAACTTCAGCTCTTTTCATTAATAAACATCTCTACTAAGCTGAGATACCAAGTAGTTGGGAAAATAAATTATATATCTTATAGTAGAATACTTTGCTGTCATAGTTGAAGTTCCATCCTTACATAAGAATAATAAGTTAAGTAAAATAAAATAATATCTCATGATCCATTTTAAAAAAGTCCTTTTAAGGGGCTAGTTGTTAAGGGGAAAGGCAAGTGCTATACCTACAAGTAGTACAGTGGGTATGGCACTTACCTTGCATATAGCCAACCCGGGTTCACTTTCCTGGCACACTATATGCTCTCCTGCTTTCCAGGAGTGATACTAAGTGCAGAGCCAGGAGTGAGCCCTGAGCACTGCCAGGTGTGCACCCCCCCAAAAAAGTCCTTTTAAGGTCCGAATTGTGGCTCAGTGATTATACACATATTTTTCATGTGTGAGTCTCTGTCACTGGCACTGAAAAAAACATACAATTATGCATTAAAAAAGGATTGGCGATATTTACCGAGATATTTATGGAGTTATTTTAAAGTGATAGGATGTATAATTGTTTTAAATGATCTTTTTTTCTAAATTCCTTAAAATTTCCTAAACTTTCTAAATTGAGTACATATCCTTTTTTTGCTTGCTTTTGGACCATAACCAGTAGCGCTCAGGGACTTGTTCTGGCTTGGTGCTTCCGGGTCATTCTTGGCGGTGCCCAGGGAAACAGGCAGTGCTGGAAATTGAATGGGTTCCCATATGCAAACCATGTGCTCTGGCTCTTTGAATAATCTCCCTGGCTCCAAATGCATATTCTTTATTGTAATAAAGTAAGACTTAAAATGTCCCACTTTTAAGTTGGATCCTAAAAAAGAAATTTACAAAGATACAAAAGCAATGACATATATTTGGTAAAATTGAGAACAGTTTCATCTAACATTCTCATTTTTTAAAGTAAAAAGTCTCAAGTGTTTTTCTGCTTGAAAAAAAATGATCTTCTCAAGGACACTTAGAGGCCTGGGGATAGCTCCAGCAGTGGAGCACATGCCTAGCATGTTGAAGACCCTGAGTTCTAACCCCAAAACCCCATGGTCCACCTGGAGTACTGTCGGGTGTGACCTGATGGCATCTGAGCACTGCCAGATGTTATCCCTATTGAAAAAGTAGGCACACAGAGTGGCAAAATGGAACAAGAGTACAGGTCCCCTTGGCTAGACCTTGCCTTGCAATCTGGGTATCCTTGCAGTTTTCCAAGCATAAATTCAATTGAAATGTCTAATAAAGAGTTTGATGACTAACATTAAGGTATTATGCTTTCATGCTGATAGAGATTCTTCTAATGGTCACGTTATTACACCCCCAGACATCAGCATAATGGGCATAGCTCTTTCAATGAAAATTTTGGAACGTAAGTAAAGAAAAATGCCATGGAAGTTGGAGCAAGCTCTGCCAACATATGCCCATCATTGCTTCGTCTTTCGGGGGCCTAA